GCACGGATCAGCTCTAGGCATGACGAAGCAGATATCATCCTCTTTTGGAAGACCAAACAAAGTAGCTTCGCTTTCACAACGAAGCACACAGCACCTTCACAACATGGTGGCCGCAACAACAATACTACAGCGAGAATAAAAGTTACGCCTTCTTTCTTTGCGTGAACATTTGGGCGGCGTTATGCAAATCTTCCCACATAGTGATGTAGACATGTGGGGGCGTGTTAGAACGAGCCGTTTTAGGTAGGTGTGGTTGACTTTTAACTTTTATAAAGAACATCTCTTTGGATTTGAGACTTTAGTCTTTGCAACTTTACAGATCTTCTTTATGCACCAAGAGCTTGTAACACTCCAAAGAGAAAGGAAAAATTGAAATAGCATCATATGACCCCTTTAATATGTCTAAAGTTTTTCTTTTTTCTTTTTTTTTTTTTTAAACTAAATTAAATAAGAAATGTTGCCTTGGCAGTTTTGTGTGTGTGTTTTATTTCCAGTTAACATTTTTTATGGTTTTAGTTAATTATGTATATTTTGATTTAACATTTTTTGTTGTTGTTCACAACAATATTCCCATAGTTTGTGATATTTCACACCAATAGTCATAGTAAATAAAGATTAATCTGAAATGTGTTCAAATTTTACTATATACACTCCTAAATACACCTGACAAGCAAAAGTCTTGTGATGTTGTTCTGCTTACAGTAGGCAGCAGCCAAAGAGAAGACGATGGAAAAAAACAGGACTGTTTTTTTTTTCAGACTGAGGAGGTTTTGAGTAAATCATATGTCACTTTTCCCCACAAAACCACAAATCCTGTTTCTCATCCGTATATTGTGTTGCATGCTATTTGGTATATAAAATGCTCTTAACCTTTGATTACAAATTTGTCAGTCTAGAAAATCAGTTCATTTATGAATAATACATTTAGCTGATCTTTATTTGAGTCTCTACAGCAAACAGACAGATAGTTTTATCTTTTCTTGAAATAAGAGCTGGAATATTGGTCTCAAATAATTATGACGCTCAAAATATTTGCATAATTTATAATGGAGAACACAAATTTGTAATAATAGTTTGTAGAGTATACCGAGTACAGCAACATGCCCTTTATAGTATTGAAGCTGAAAGACAGCTTTGCAGAACAATATTTGCGTTATAGTTTAATTGTGAGTGAGAGCATCACATGGCAAGACTTTGCATTCAGCTATAGAAACTATAAAATGCTTATTAATCATAAAATATACAGGAACAGTATCACGGGAGATGCCATGCATCTAAAAAAAAGCATGATTCATCACACGCGAATCATTACTTCACTGTACTTAGTCACACACCACACTACACCACATCTAAATCTGTGAAAACCTGTTTTATTTGAGTAAAAATGCATATATAAACTTGTACTATTTTGTATATGCTGTGTGTGTGTGTGTGTGTATACTTCTAGTTTTTGTTAATATTTTGAATTAGTTTATTTTTAGATTTTCTGTTTTCACTTTAATATTAGTTCAAGTTTTATTAATTGTGTTGTGTGTTTTTTATTGTATGTTTCATTTTTTTGTTTGTTTTTTATTTCTGTGTATAGTTTTTATTAGGTTTTAGGTTTAATTAGTTTTAGTTATTTTAGTACTTCAAGTTAAACTTAACAAAAATGAGCAACTAGATTCTTTGGCAACTAGAAGTTTAATTTATTTATATTTTATTTTATTTTAGTTAATGTTTATTTTATTTCAAGTAATGGCTTTTTTAATAATAGCCCTTGTTTTTACCGAATTTTAGAATGCTTTTGTTTGTTTTATGTTTTATTTTAGTAACTATAAATGACTATTAATACTTTGAAAGTATAACAACATATTTAGGATTGTTTAATAGTAAGCCTGTGACACTTCCCCTGCGAGTTTACATTACTTTAGGCCTAAACTAAGAAAATATGACTTTTGCAAAAGTCTCATCTTATGAATACTTTTAAAATCTTTGCATAAGGATATTTACATCATAGTTGTTCAAATTGTGAGAGAAAATACCAGATGACATCATCATCCAGGAAGTTATATCATTTTGGAGGGAAAATACCAGCACAAAAAATAAATGCTTAAAAAACTAATCTAAATTAACATCAAGTTGATGTCCTCATATAAGCGAATGAATAACTTTTTTTCCCCATTCTTTCATTTTTGTACATTGTAAATAATCAAGTGAATGAATGAAGTTTGACCAGAGCATATCTGTGAAAGTCTGCTATACCATTTTATACCAATAACTCATCAAATCATTTAAAAGTTACAAAGGGTTCAAAAAGTCCTGAAAGGGTTAGTTCACCCAAAAATGAAAATCCTGTCATTAATTAACACAAATTAAGATATTTTTATATATGCTGTCTAT